TCCTACCTCACCTCATCTTCCTCACCAACAAGCACTGCTTGTACAGTGAACAACCCTCAAGACATATCTCCAATGTTGGGAGTCTTAATAGGTCCTCACTGACTGGAAACTAGCTAACTTTATTGCAACTTATGAAAAGGGCAAGAGGGTAGACCCAAGAAACTAGAGACCTGTCAGTCCAACTTCAGGACCTGGAAAAATTACGGAGTAGATCATCCTGAGTGCTACGGACAGGCATTTAAAGGACAATGCAATCATTAGGCACAGTCAACACAGGTTCACGAAGGGAAAGTGCCTCACAGCATCCTCCTGGACAAGTTGTCCAACTGTGAGATGAGCAGATACATGCCGTGCTGGGTGAAGAACTGGCTGAACAGCAAGACTCAAAGTGTTGTAGAGAATGGGGCTACATCCAGCTGGTGATGACTGGTCAGCAGCAGTGCTCCTCAGGGCTCTATTCAAGAGCCACTTCTGCTCAAGGTCTTAATCAAGGATCTAGAAGCAGGAGTCGAATGCACTATTAGAATATTTGCTGATGATACTAAACTGGGAGGTGCTGTTGACTCTCTTGAGGGACAAGAGGCCTTGCAAAGCAATCTACACAGATTGTAGCATTGAGCAGCGATCACAGAATCATAGAATGGTTAGAGTTCGAAGGGACCTCAAAGATTCTCTTGTTCCAACCCCCTGCCATGGGCAGGGACACCCTCCACTACATCAGGTTGCCCAAAGCCTCATCCAACCTGGCCTTGAACACTGCCAGGGATGGGGCAACCACAACTTCTCTGGGCAACCTGTTCCAATGTCTCACCACCCTCAGAGGGAAGAATTTCTTCCTTATAGCCCATCGAAACCTCCCCTCTTTCAGTTTAAAGCCATTGCCCCATGTCCCGTCACTACATGCCCTTGCAAAAAGTCCCTCTCCAGCTTTCCTGTAGGCCCCCTTTAAGTAATGGAAGGCTGCTATGAGATCACCCCGGAGCAATGGGATTAAATTTAACAACGGATCCTGCATCTAGGAAGGAGTAACGCTGGACACAAGTATAGATTGGGAGAGGAGTGGCTGGAGAACAGCCCTGCAGAGAGAGATCTGGGGGTTCTGGCTGACAGCAGGCTTGATAGGAGTCACCAGTGAGCCCTGGTAGCCAAGATGGCAAACCACATCTTGGGGTGCATTAAACAAAGCACAACCAGCTGGTCAAAAGAGGTGATTATCCCACTGAATTTTGCATTGGTGCATCCTCATCTTGAGTATTGTGTGTAGATCCGAGTCCCGCAGTCTAAAAAGGATGTTAAGGTACTTGAAAGCATCCAGAGGGCAACAAAGCTGCTGACAGGGCTGGAAGGCAAGTCCTAGGGGATCGGCTAAGGACACCGGGTTTCTCTAGTTTGGAGAGAAGGAGGCTGAGGAGCAACCTCATTGCTCTCTACAGCTTCTGAGGAGGGGGAGAGGGAGGTGCTGATCTCTCCTCCCTGGGATCAAGGGATAGGACCCATAGGAATGGTACAAAGAAACATGGCATTACCAAGAGGGTGGCCAAACACTAGAACAGGCTTCCTAGTGAGGTGGTCGATGCCTCCAGCCTGTCAGTGTTAAGAGGCATTTGGAGAATGCCCTTAACAACATGCTTTAACTTTTGCTCAGCCCTGAAGTGGTCAGGCAGTTGGACTAGATGATCATTGTAGGTCACAGAATCATGGAATGGTTTGGGTTGGAAGAGACCTCAAAGATCATCCAGTTCCAACCCCCCTTCCATGGGCAGGGACACCCTCCACTACACCAACTGAACTGTTCTGGTCTAGTCTAGTCTAGCCTACTCTGCTTCATCAACCCTTTGGCACTCACCATCACCGAGAAGTTCTTAGCCCCACGCAGCACGTATGCCTCCCATTTCCCCTTTGCTACCTCCAGTCCGACTCCGGCCCCACAAACACCATACAGAGAAATGGCCTCACCCTTTGGTGACACCCCAAATTACAACACCAAAGGCCCTGCCTGGCTCACCAGCCTCCCATGCCTACTGGTCCCACTCACCCCGGGCATCTCACCAGCCACACCAGCTCTACCAGAGCTGATCAGCCTCAGCCCCACAGCCACAGCCTTCTCTCACCAACTTCTTGAAGGTCCCTTCCAACCCAAACCACTCTATGATTCTATGATTCAATAACCTGCCAACTAGGGGGCAGCTGACAGGTGCCAGCAGCTGCAGCAGCTCGTGGAAGGTTCTGGAAGGCATCGGGCAGGACCCGGATCAACATCTCCTGTACCAGGAATAGATCATCTGCACCAAACAGCCCCAGAGCAACTGCTGGGATGGCCGAGGGCTGAGCGAGGGAATGAACGAATGGAAATGGTGCCGAAAGCCAAACCGAACGCCCCACACGGCAGCAGTGAAGGGACTCTGGAGGGTGAGATGGAGGGAAAATGCCCGGATTAAATAATGCCCCAGAAAAAAGCCACAACCCATAAATACGTTAACATACTCTGTACTTCCTGCCTGTGCTGCACAGTGCTCGGGACACCCATGTGGGGTTCTCTGTCACGGTCCATCCTTTGCTGTGATCCCCAGCCCAACCGCCTGGTGGTCCCCGTTGCACCATCTTCCTTCACAGCAGGGCCCCGGGGGCACCCACACAGGGTCCTGTGTGCCCTCCCTTGCTGCCAGGACCCTGGACAACCCATGCCGGGTGCCCAGGGTCACCACTCCCCTTGCTCTCAGGTCCTCACCGGACCCCAGTGTAGATACTTCTAGCATGGTTCACTTGGCGCATGTTCCCCATTCCACCTACAAGAGTCCCCAGGCCACACTCTCACCTTGCTATGGGATCCTCAACTGATCCCTTGGACGGGGATCCCCAGGCCACCATCCCCTCTTCACTGCAGGATCCCACACTGACCCATGCAGGGAGGTCTCTGGACTACCATCCTCCTTGCTGCAGGGTCCCTGGACCACCTGTGCAGGGGAGCCAAAGCCACCACCCCTCTGCTGTGAGGTCACCCAGAAAGCCCCCTCTGTGAGGTCACCATCCTCCTCGCTGTGGGGTCCCTGAGGCACAGCATGGGGTATGGAGGACCAGGTGCAGGAATGAGCCTGTAACCCTGCTCTGCTGTGAAGATGGGGCTCTGTGGAGGGTTGACCTTGGCTGGACACCAGGTGCTCACCGAATTGCTCTATCACTCCCCGCCTCAACTGGATAGAGGGGAAAAAAATATGACGAAAGGCTCTTGAGTTGAGATAAGGACAGGGAGATATCTCACCAGTTACCATCACGGGCAAAACAGACTTAAATAAGAGAAATTAATCTATTTTGTTCCAAATCAAAAGTGAGAGTGGGACAATGAAAAATAAGAACAACTCTTAACACACCTTCCCCATGCTCCTCCCTTCTTCCAGGCTCAACATCATTCCTGAATTCTCTACCTCCTCCCCACAAGCGGATGGGGACTGGTGGTTGTGGTCAGTTCATTATGTGTTGTCTCTCCCACTCCTACCTCCTCACACTCTTCCCCTCCTTCACCATGGGGTCTCACACACGAGGGACTGTCCTTCATGAACGACTGCATTGTGGGTCCTTCCCACAGGCTGCAGTTCTTCACAAACTGCTCCAGCATGGGTCCTTTCCACAGGGTGCAGTCCTTCAGGAATGGACTTCTCCAGCATGGTTCCCTCATGAGGTCACCGGCCCTGCCAAGAGACCTGCTCCAGTGCAGGCTCCTCTCCACGGGGCCGCAGGTCCTACAAGGAGCCTGCTCCAGCACGAATGCTCCATTTGATCACAGCCTCCTTAGAGCACAACCACCTGCTCCACCATGGACCTCCATGAGCTGCAGGGAGACAGTTGCCTCACCATGGTCTTTAACCCAGAGTGCAGGGAAATCTCTGTGCCGGTGCCTGGAGCACCAACTCCTTGTCCTCCTTCACTGACCTTCAGTTCTGTAGAGTCGTTTCTCTCACATATTCTCACTCCTCTCTCCCGGCTGCTGTCGCACAGCAGGTTTTTTCCCTTCTGAAATGCCACAAGGTGCTACTACTGTCGCTGACTGGATCAGTTTTGGTCAGAGGCAGCTCTGTCGTGAAGCTCTATTGGACATGAAGGAAACTTTTGGCATCTTCTCAGAGAAGTCACCCCGCAGAGTAATGAGAGTTCTTTGACTATGAGAACCTCACCACGCAAAACCAATACACCCAGCTACAACCTTACGAGCAAGAGGGGCACCAGGCCACCCACAGAGCACACCCAGTGGGAATGACCAGGCCTACAGACAGGCTTAGGGAGCTGGGAGCAAGGCAGGGAGAGAGTGAACGTGATGGAACAGGCAGACTGGCACCTTGCACACCTCCAAAGCCCAGACCAGACTTCCAGGGCTGCAAGGAAATGGGGTCTCCTCTTCACAACGCACCCGCAAACCACACCACACGAGCGCCACGGGATGATCGCACCCACAGCACCCCACCTCTCCTACGCTTTGGTCGCGTCTTCTACCCACCCCGACATGCACCATCAACACCAAACCTTTGCCCTCTAATATTTGCACTTAAAAGCTGCCGCCAGGGAGAAGTGGACACGTCCTCAAGAGGAGGACATGGAATTGCAGAATTGTGGTGAGGGAAACACACCCCACCTCATTACTCACGGAGCTGTGGCATGAAACAGCTGCGTGCTCAAAATGTGCAAAGGCTGTCCCGCCCCTGGGGGAGCAGCATAAAAGCCACCCAGCACCTCTGTCCCTCACACACTTCTCCTGACGCCTTCTCCTCCGCCGTCAGAAAGGTGCGCCTGAACCCCCTTCCCCTTCTTCTCCATTCCCACCTTCCCTGTCTCTTCTACCACGCTCTGCCCTCACCCTCAGCACCCCTGATGCCTCCCCACCACCATGATCCCCACAGCACCACACTAGATCTTCTCACTCCCTTGTACTCCTCAAACACTGTCCCTGGCATCCCCATGTCCTCTCTTCCTCAGCACCCTCTCTTCCAGGGCCCCTCCACACCACGGCCATGGCCTGCAACGATATCTGCCGCCCCTGCGGACCCACCCCGCTGGCTAACAGCTGCAACGAGCCCTGTGTCAGGCAGTGCGAGGACTCCCGCGTCGTCATCCAGCCTTCCACCGTGGTGGTCACCCTGCCAGGACCCCAGAGCCCCGCCGCCGGATCCTCCTCACCCGCTGCCGTGGGCAACGTCCTCAGTGCCCAGGGAGTGCCCGTGTCCTCTGGGGGCTTCGGCTATGGCTATGGCTACGGCTTAGGAGGCCTGGGCTGCTACGGCGGCAGATGGGGCTGCTACCCCTGCTAAGGGACATCACCATCTCTCCTACAGTAACCACCCACACCCTGCAAACCATGGCAGAGATAGAGCATACACACCTCCAGCCCGTTCCTGGCACATGGCCTTGCAGTCCAGAGACCCTCCTCTCAAGGCACCAAGCAAGCAGGAAAAGTGCCTGTCCAGGGTGTCCGGAAACATGACCCATGTACCTCCTCCTCTTCTCCCACTTCTTTCTTTGCATCTTTTTCTTCTCAATAAAGTCCTCCTGCATCCCAGCATGAGACGCCTCCTCTTCATTTCTTCTCCCAAGCCTCTTCCAACCTCACCCAGTGCTAAGCCATGGCTTAACAGGCTGTCAGGGTGGGTGGAAAAGGGCCACCAGATCTCTCCTAGGAAATATGTCACCATCACTACCACCACAAACACAGACCAGCACATGGAGGTCATCCAGAACGTGACACAAGACCATCACTGGCTCAAAGGCTTTGACAACGCTCACCTGCACACGTCTCTGATGAGGTCTCTCCATGCCAGAACACGCTTGGATAACTCTCTTCCCCACCATGACTCTCTGGCCCTCCCGCCAAACACAATCACAGAATCATTTATTTGGCAGCAACTCTGGAGAGCACATGCTTCAAGCATCCCTGACCAAGCAGGGCCAGCTAGAGCAGGTTGTCTGAGAACATGGTCAGTTGGGTTTTCACTGTCTCCAGGGACAGAGACTCCACCACCTCTACGCAGCCCCGTGCACCATCCTCACATCCAATGCCCTCCACAATCTCCAAATCCTCTTTCTGCCCATCAGACACTGTGCAGAGAACTGGCCTCACCCCTCGGCGCTCACCACGACTAAGGACCCCAAAGGCCCTGGCTCATCAGCCTCCCCTGCCTTCTCCCCCTCTGCCTCTCACAATTCTCATGGGCTCTCCAGAAACTCACCTGCCCTTGCAGGCTGCCCCATGTACAATCATAGAGTCATTGAGGTTGGAAAAGACCCTTAACATCATCAAGTCCAACCGTTAACCCAACACCACCAAGTCCAACACTAAACCATGTCCCCAGGCACCAGCTCTATGCATCTTTTAAATACCTCCGGGGATGGTGACTCAACCACTTCCCTGGCAGCCTCTTCCAGTGCTTCATAACCCTTTTGGCAATTAAATTTTACCTAATATCCAATCTCAACCTCCCCTGGTTCCACTTGAGGCTGTTTCCTCTTGTCCTTTCATTTGTCACTAGGGAGAAGACACTGACACCCACCTCATTACTGGCTCCTTTCAGGGAGCTGTAGAGAGTGATAAGGTCTTCCCTCAGCCACCTTCTTCTGAAAACTAAATACCCCCAGTACCATCAACGCTCTTCATAATTCTTTTTCATTAGATCCTTCACCAGCTTCGTTGTGAGCTGCCTGGAAATATGGCCCATATACCTCCTCCTCTTCTCCCATGTCCTTCTCTGCACCTCAGACATGCTCCCTTCCACTTGGTGCTCCTGCCTTTTCACTCTTTTTTTTTACCTCAATAAAGTTCTCCTGCATCCCAACCTGAGACATCTGCACTACCTTTCTTCTCCCAAATCTCTTCCAAGTTGACCCTAGAAAAACCAAGGCTCCACAAGCCACCAGAGTGCGTAGAAAAGGGCAACAAGACCTCTCCTATGAAATATGCCACCACTAACACCAGTGCCTGGGGGCTTCCAGAATGCGACATAAGCCCATCGTTTTCCACAATCAATAAATACATCAACAGACTCTGCACTTCTTTTCCGTGCTGTAGGGTGACAGGAACAGCCATGTGGGGTCCTCCATCACTGCTCCCTCCCTTGCTGTGGTCTCCAGCCCAACTGTCTGGCAATCTCCTTCGCACCATCTTCCCTCATGGTGAGGTCCCAGGGCCACCCACACAGGCTCTTGGTTACCTGTCCCCGCTTGCTGCCAGGACCCTGGGCAACCTGTGCTGGGTGCCCAGGTCACCACGCCCCTTGGTGTGGGGTCCTCAGCTGACCCAAATGTGGGTCCTTATTGCACCACCTGCCTGGCTGCATGTTCCCCGTTCCACCTACATGGCAGGCCCCAGGTCATGGTCTCACCTTGCTATGGGATCTTCAACTGATCCCTTGGAGAGGGATCCCCAGGCCACCATCCCCTCTTCACTGCAGGATCCCACAGTGACCCATGCAGGGAGGTCTCTGGACTACCATCCTCCTTGCTGCAGGGTCCCTGGACCACCTGTGCAGGGGAGCCAAGGCCACCACCCCTCTGCTGTGAGGTCACCATCCTCCTCGCTGTGGGGTCCCTGAGGCACAGCATGGGGCACGGAGGACCAGGTGCAGGAATGAGCCTGTGACCCTGCTCTGCTGTGAAGATTGGGCTCCTGCAGGGCTGCGTGGCTCTGAAGTTTGTTGGGTGGGCATGTTCCCTTATGCCACCCTCCCACCTCTGTGCCTCCCAACACGGGCACTCAAACCCAGATCTTTGGGCACCAAAGATCTTTGGTTCCCCCAAACTGCTTATCACCAATGCTGCTCGCTCTTTCTTCTCCTTCGTTGTTTTTGTTTTTCCCTGTCTCTAAGTGAAAAATAAAAAGCTCCTGCAAAGCAGGTGAACTCTGGGCCAAGACAGGAGATCACAGTCTCCAGGGCTACTGGCAGCACTCAAATATTCATCAAACGCAAATTAAGAGAACATCTCCAGACCAGCTGGATTGCCCCAGCTCCCGAGAGCTTTGTTGACAGCAGTCAGCCTCGTTTCAAAGACGAAGCTTTTGCCAAGGAAAAAAGCCGTTCCCTAATATCAAACCCAAACACCACCTCCCTCCGAGCTGGGCAGGGAGAGAGGGGATGGGTTACGATCTGTTTGGCCTTTTTATCCAGTGATTTAGATGTTTCGGCTCTTCTTAAAGTGTCTAAGCAGTAGAAGACAAACTACCTGCAGTAGTTGTTCACCTTGGAGTTCAGCCAGCTTGACATCAACCCTTGAACTGCAACGGGTGCAGGATCTCGCCTCCCTGCAGCCCTGCGACGTGCCCGAGCAGCCAGGCCCAGTGGGATGGCTGCCTCATGCTTCAGAGCGTGTCTCAGCCCAAACTTGCTCCAGAGCTGCTCGGTTTGGGCACAGTCAGCTCAGACGGGTTCAAAGGAGTGCTGGGAGGAGGCTCTCTGCCCACAGGATGGATGGGCAAGCACATGCCTCTGTCCCATCCACCCTGGGGAAGACAGAGGCCAGGTCTCTTAGATTGCTCCCTGCCCAGCTCTGTGCACCTCATCCTTAGGAGACCCCAAGGCAGGCATGGAGCAGGAGGAACATGCTGGAGGGCACCCTCCCGAGCTGCAGGTGAAATGGGTGGCACCTCTCCCATTGTCTGACTCTCGGTGGGACTCTCACCTTCCGAGCCAGGACCTCGCTCTCTGAGCAGCCCCAAACACCATCACGGAGCAGTCACGGCTTGTGGCCATGCATGGCCTTTTCCCTGGTCTTCCTCCTTCAGGAGGATTGGACTCAGCAGGGTGGCAGCAAGGATGTTATTGTCCAGCAAGTCCTCCCAGTTCCATGAACCTGGAGTCTGCAAGGGGTCTAGTTTGTTCTTGTCCCAACCTAAGTCAGAAATTTTCCATTGGAACTGCTCCTGGTTCATATTCCATATGATCATCGAATGGTTTGGGTTGGAAGAGACCTTTAAAGCTCACCTAGTCCAACCCCCCCTGCAATGAACAGGGACATCTTCAACTAAATCAGGTTGCTCAGAGCCTCGTCCAACCTGACTTTGAATGTTTCCAGGGATGGGGCATCTACAGCCCCTCTGGGCAACCTGGTCCAGTGTTTCACCATCTGTCTTCCTTAGATCTAGTCCGAATCTCCCCTCTTTAAAACCATCACCCCTTGTCCCATCGCTACAGACCCTACTGAAAAATCTGTCCCTATCAGATGAGAAACCACCCGTTAGGAAGAGGGTCTACAAAAAGCCGTGGCCATCGCTCCTGTTGGCATCCCTGCCTCCCTGCTCCGTGGCTCTGCAAGACTGTCCCATACTTTTGGACAACTCTCCCATTGCCGAGAGGCTTCATGTTGGTGGGAGCAACCACCAGCCCTTATGGAAACTGGTGGGAGCTGGGCTGCTTGGGACAAAATGCACTTCGTCCGGACGGAATCACGGGCAGAGGGAGTCACAGGCTGTGTGTAACCCCTGGGAAGGGGCTCGTTGCCGGCATGCTGTCTACCTCAGAGTGCAAAAAAGAGCCACGAAACTGAAATTCAAGTAGGAGAGCGATGCTTAGAGCTGGTGTGTCTCACCTGGGCTCCTGGAGCTTGGCTGCAGCCATGTAGAGTCATCACAAGCCGGCTTCCACGCTGGGATGGGCTGCATCCAGGCAGCTTGTATCCGTCTGCCTCGCTTTCCCAAGAGAAACAAAGAGGGCAGAGCAGGGAGTGGGGCTGGAGCCGAAACCGGACCAGTTTGAGAGAAAGAGGTCACCCACAAGGAAGCTTCGTTATGGAAACAACATAGAGATGAAGCAGCGGTTCTCCGACGGCAATGGGATCTGACGGACCTACCAAAGCTTCATCCTGTCTGCTGCAAGGTCCTGTGGTTCATGTCACGCGGGAGACCTGCCCGGTTGACTTAATGAGTGTCCTCCAAGCTTTCATCCTTAACTCACAAGATCTTGCTAGGGAATGTCAAAAGCCTGGGTGATAGTTCATTAAACGAGAGAGTCCTGCTCCAGCTCCGTGTGGTCACTGCACGTTTACGCCTCTGCCCTGTGATCTTCCCTCATGCCCTGACATCGCTTTGCTAATTAGCTGCAGAATTACCATATTTAACCCCAGCACTGCAGTTATTCAGCTGCTGCCGCAGCAGCTCCAGCTGCGCCACCTCCTCGCAATTCCTCCACCCAAACAGGGATTACCTCTGGATGCAGCAGGAAGCTCTTATCCTCCCACCGGCACCTGGAATATCTTCCTTCGCCTTTTGTGTTTCCCTAGCTCATCTCATGGCTGCCCCACAGAATGGTTAGGGTTGGAAGGGACC